TTCGTTTGGATTGAGGCTGTTGCTTCTTAGGGCGGCATGCTGGCGCTGGCCGGAAATCTTGCCTGAGGATCACATGCTGTCGAATGAGCCATTCTGCGGAAAGGTTTTGCGCTGTGAGCGCCCACGTTTGGCCAGTCCGGTTAACGAGCCGCCTGTTGCTGGCGTGGCGGGTTTCCACCCCAAGGATGTCCACAGAAATCTGCGAAGCAATGCATGACAAAATGTTCTGCGCCCTGCGGCTTGTCAAAGATTCAACGCTGGGGAAAGTCTGAAGCACCCAACTTGTCAGCTCATCATGCAAGCACGAAGGCAAATGAAACACGTCCTCTTGCACATGCGAAGCAAAGAGTCTGTGCGGGAACAGGCGGTGAAAACAGTGAAGTTGCTGGTGGGCCATTGCTCCTGCTCGCGCCAGCATCCGGAATATCAACACCTTTGTGGACTCGCGGCATCCGTTGTCAGGAAGAGCCAGCGGGACTTCATGAAGCACTTGATTCAATTTTCTCAAGAACTTTTTCTCCAGCTTGCCATCTGCCAGCTCTGAAATCCGTGAAGTGGCAGGTTTCCCACTTGCGGCAGATGCTGACTGATCAGCATCGAATTTTTCACTGCCAAGGTACACGTGGGCCTGCAGCAATTCTACCAACGGCTGCATTGCGATGGTCGCAGCCAACAAGGTAGTGCCTGGCTTGCTGGCGGCATACTTGGCCGCCTTTTCTTTGGTTGCCTTGTTGTACTCGGCCCAATCGAAGCTATCAGGGTCAACAATGTGAGTAGACACTGCCAACTCTGCTTGAAACCCCTCAGCGTCAAAACCCTCACGCACGTGCTGATGTGTCTCACGGATGGCTGTGGCAGATCGATCTGCTAGCATTTGCCATGACACAGCCTGAGGCACGGGTTGAACAGGCGGAGTGGGTGCTGGTAAGCAAGGACCTACTGGAGTCACTGGCTCTCCATAAAACCGGGCCATGAGTGGCTGAAAGACATTGTGGTGGCAGCACAAAAGCCCCACCCAAGCCACAGCTGCTGGGAAGTTCAAGAAGCGAGACCGGTTCAACAAAGGACACGCAGTCGGAAGCAAGGCCGGCACCACAAAAGTTTTGAACTGTTCCAAAATCTCTTCACGCGACACCCGGGCAGCAGCCCAATGCACAATGACGCCCTCCTCAGTGAGGTCTCCGTTTAGGAAGTGCGAGAGGATGCAGCGCTGACGCGTTGCTCTCAAAGAATCGCTTTTGTTCGCAGGAGTCTCCCCAATAGAGCCTGCCAGGAACAAATTGTAAAGACGCTCGCGGTAGGCCTCTGCTCGTGGTGGGCCGATGCGCACTTCAAGTTGCTCCTGGATGATCTGGAACAAGTGTGCCCTAAGAGCAGCCCTGGCACCGCCGCATTGCATAGCAGCGCCGCACGCCACTATGCCACTGGTGTGAAAAGAAACCAATGACAGGGCCTTGCCTTCAACGCTGGCAACCTTATGCACAATGCAATGGGTGTGTAGCAGCTTGTATTTCACAAGCGACTCGTGCTGCAACACCCGTTCAGCGAGCAGGTTAGCGCTGTATCGGTCTGTGCACACTAAGCTCATGTTGAGCTGGAAATGTTGCGCCACTGCATCGTAATGGCCAAGCAGCCGTTGCGCTTCATCCTGACATTGCACCAACACTTCAGCGCTGCCAGACTCCATCACCTGCAGCCACACAGGAAGCTTGCCTTCAAACTGCAGGTATGCATCGCTCTCCTCGTGGTAGAGCAGCGCAAAACAACCAAGCTGCGTTTGCAAGGTTTTCACCACGGCCGACGCTGCTTGGTCGCCACGCTGTGAAGGGTTCAGTGAAATTGAATCTTCGGCAACTCTCAAGCGATAAGGGGTTTCATCATATCTGCGTGTTCGGCCAATCACCAGGCCAGTGTACCCCTTCTGTGTCAGAAGGAACCTCAAATGGTCTAACATGCAGTTCCAAAGATGGGCTGATGACTCCAAAAGCACTGCTGCCAATCTGGCTGGCAGCTTTGTCTCCACTCTGGTTGGGTCTTGTCCAACTTGAGCACGCAAACTAGACACCGCCCTGCGACCTGCAAACAGGAACTCGTTCACAGGGTTCTCCTCCTCAACAGCTTGCTCCTTGGATTGCTGCGTGGCAAAAAACCACACCTTTTTTTGCAAGTGAGTGCTTTGCACGGAAGGGCTCTCCGTGAGTTTGCTTGGCAGCAGTGCGAGAGCAAGGTCACCCACACACTTGGCAGAAACGTTGGGATTGCTCTGCTCTCTTTGGCGCGCCTGTGGCTGATTTTCAGCCGCTCTTACGCCATGCTGCTGCGCTTTGACAAAAGCCCGCAGACTTCCTCGGCCAAACGTCCCCAAAGGCCTGCCTCTAGTTTTGGGGGTCGCCTGTGCCAGAGAGCTGCCTGCAGCTCCGGGTGTGTTGTCGGTGTCAACTGCTGCTGTGCTGGAAGCAAACTTCTGGGCAAATGCCTCCCAGCTCATGCCATGCTCAACTGAATTTAGCACATCCAGCTCAGCACCTGAGCGAGCTAAGCCAAAACGCGATCCGATAAGACTGCCGAAAATCATGGTCAAAAACATTGGGCCGACAGAGCAAAATCACATGCCCTCTGCATGGCGATATCTTCTAGCCGCATTTCACATCTACAGCCACGCAATCCAGCAAACTGCAAGATCCAAGTCTTCTTGACACACCGTTTGCGAATGGCACTTTGGCAGTTGTCACATCTGTTGGCAAGAACACGCACACACACACACACATGCACACACGCAGTCAAACCCAGCCCACTCGAACGCCGCAAAACTAGCTGCAGCGCAATCCTGCCTCGGCCGCATAATCTTCATGAACATCTTCTGGTCGACCTTGTTGACTTTGACGAAATACCCGGGCTTCAGGTTCAGCTGCTGAAGGCCATCCAAAAACCTTGCAGGGGAAAACCGAGCGAGGCTTGCGTTGGTTTGTCAAGGTGATGTTTGGGCCAAAGTTTGGGCCTTGGGCTCATGTAGCATCTATTGACAACACCCTGGTTTTGTCAAACGGCCCTAGCCTCTGCAGCGGGGAAACTGGCGAGTCAACACTCTCTGGAAGGTCAAAACCCATGGACTGCTCAAAGGTAACTGACACCGGGTTGAACTTGGTAAGCGTGTCAAAGGCATCTCCGAAAGTGTTGGCGTACATCTTGTGGGATTTCACGCTCCCATCACTGAAGCGCTTTGAGCGCATTGGTGAAAACGGGTTGCACGGCGTGCCAGCAAACAAGTAGTCAACCTCGCCACTGAAAGGGCAATTGCCGCCACTGTGCAGCAAGCAGCCCCTCTCCTGAGTCTGGGCTTCCATGGTGGGAAACCAATGCTGAGCATCATGGTTTGCCTGCGCGAAGGCCCTGTACTTGGGGTTGAGCTCGCTTGCAGAGACACAAGTAAATGGAATCCTCAATTCCTGCAGTTCTGACAAACAGGCCTGCTTTCTCCAACCCGCTGGACCAAAAACAACGCAACCCTGGGCAACGTAATAAGCAACACTGGACAAAATCTGGTTTTGTAAAACTTAACCTTTCACCAGGTAGGCAAACACAAATCAGTCCTTCAGAACTGCGGCCTCTGCAAAGGAGCCCGTGCAAGCAGACATCACTGCAAGTGGCTCAGAGATTGGTTGCTTATGAAGCCCTGTCTTCTCAGCATGGGCTCTCAAAAGCTGCGCCCACCAGACCGAGGGGGGGCCCTGCTCAACCTCCAAGTCACTAAGTTCGCAGGTGTCTGCGTCTGACACAGCCTGAGAGGCTGCGCACTGGCATGCCAGATCATCCCAGCTGCCGCTTTCATCCGACATTGTTTGGCCCGCAATCTGCTAACACCAACTACCGCCTCCTGAGAAAAACCGTCATTTGGCAATTGCGAAACTCAGAAGGCCTCCCCTCCTGCCACACCCCCAATCTTCACGATGCGGCAACTCAAGCAGCCTCCAAACGCTTGCTACTACCTACAAAGACCTTTTAGATACCAAACGAACCTTTGATTGAGATGTTCAACCCTCTGGCAGGATGATTGGGTTTCTACCAGGCAACTGACATGCTAGGTCATGAGGAAGCAGCCATCAAGTGACCCTTTGCCCTCAGGGAAGCAATGAAAGTGCAAGTTGTTTGTTGAAGCATATCATTTGAAACGTGGGAAGCCAAAAGGTGTAAAGAAATCGTAAAACCGGCGTATCAAAATCATAAATGCCAGTCGTATCAAAATCGTATCTAAATCGCAAAAAAAAATTAACTGGGCTTCCCGTGACTTAGCCTACACCGTGGGTCACAACACTAAACCCCCCCAAAAAGTGAAACTTTTTGCAGGGGGGTCAACAGCAACCAAGTTTCGGAGGGTGATTCACAAGTCGAAACGGTGAATGAAACCCAAAGACACCACAACCGTTGGGTATTCATTGGGGAATCGAAACAAGAATCTTCCGGGGTTTCTGATTTGGCTGTGGGTCAAAGCCAATCGGATCCCATTTTGGGGTAACCGGTATTTTGACCCATTGCGATTTCGGTTGTCGCTGTTGCGTGTTGGACTTCGCCGGCATTCCAGGGGTAGCTTCTCCATTCTTTTCAGGGGATCCGGATCTTTCTAGAAACCCACCAAAAACCCAGGGGAAATGGCGATCGGTTTTTGAAAACGTGTCTTCGGAATAAGACAGCCCCACCATGGCCTTTCGGCGCGTGTTTCCGGTCGGCTCCCCAATTCTACCAAATTCCATCAGGGTCTTTCTAGTTCCTTAGTGCCTCCTTGAGGGGTTGCTTTAAAGGGAAATAGGCAAACACACGGAAAAGACTGACTAAGACGGGACAAGGAATCAACCCCTAGATTTACCGCAAAAAAGGGGGTCCCTCGAAAATCCCCAAAAAGAAGAGCCCACCCCCAGAATTCTAACCTCCCCTCCCAAAAAAAAGACCCCCAGCATCGTTTCTAATCTGGAGCCCTGAATCAACCCCTAGAGCCATCCAGCCAGGCGGAGCCCCTGGAGATCTGCACGCGGATCACCCGCTGCCCATGTGGCGGGGGAGCCTCGGAAGGTTTCAGCTTAAGCCCGGGGCCTTGCGGTGCACCGGGGAAGGGGGGGGGGGGTCCGGAAAATAAAAATAGAAATACAAATGACAATAATAGTAATGATAATGATAATGATAATAGTAAGAGTAATCAGAATAAGAATAAGAAGAAGAATAGAACAAGTTTTCGAGTTCCATGTGTGATCCCTGGTTGGGTGACCCAAGAAAGGCCCTGAAAGGAAGGGACAGAGGAGAATGTGGTGTGGAAGGATTGCCAAAAGTGGCAACTTGGATACACTGGGTAATGTTGGACCTGCTTTAATATGATCCCCCCCCCCCTTCCTGAACAATGGAACCAGTCAGCGGGACCCTGTTTAGGCAAACCCTGGGGGTCTGGGTGGGACTTTCAATTTGATTTAGTATTGGTAGACTTGAGTTTCCATTTGATTTAGTATTGCTGGAGCTTCCTTTTGAGATCTGGAACTGAGTTTCCATTTGATTTAGTATTGCTTGGAGCTTCCTTTTTGAGATCTGGAACTGAGTTTCCATTTGATGTAGTATTGCTTGGAGCTTCCTTTTTGAGATCTGGAACTGAGTTTCCATTTGATTTAGTATTGCTTGGAGCTTCCTTTTTGAGATTGGGAACTGAGTTTCCATTTGATTTAGTCGTATTGCCGGAGCTTCCTTTTGAGATTTTGGAATTGAGTTTCCATTTGATGTAGTATTGCTGGAGCTTCTTTTTGAGATTGGGAACTGAGTTTCAAATTTGTGAATGCCAGGTACTGCTGCTTCGGGTTTCCAAATGGGAAGTGGACAGGAGGGAAGACAAGACAACCAACTCTTTGTCCGCCACGATTATTGCGGTAGCACAGTGGACAACAGGGGCTACCTTCCTGACGAAGGTTGAACGGGGTTCCAAGAAAGACCCGGAAGTTCCACCCACTCAGCTCAAGTTTTTCCACCATCATGGTTATAAGCTCCCTACTTGCACCGCGGATTCACATAAATCACATCCTCATTTGTAGAGGAAACCGCTTTTGGGGAACGGACCTGCAAGCGTTTTTGGAAGCAGCCCCCACGATTTTGGGTTTGGGGAGTATCCTTGCTGCAAAAAGGGACTTCCTCCTCGACCCCTTCTTTGGGCCCCTTTGTCATTCCCAAATCGTTTTCTTGTTGGTGTCCTTTGGCTTCCCTTTATCCAAAAAAGATTCCCTCAGCACAAACCAAACATGGTTCCCTCCAAAACAACAACCATGGGTCCCCCCCCCCAACAAAAAGAAAGAACAGAGAGGAGCCAAAACGGCTCCCTCGAAAAGAGGCCCGACCATGGTTCCCTCAAAAAGCAACGCACCCTTGTGAATCTGAGCCTCCCAGCAGCATAGGAACAGCACCGAGCCGCCCTATGCGGCCTGCCGCATCACCTGGGGCTCCCCAGATGCGCCGGTCTCCGTTCTGGACGGTTTTCGCGTGGGATGTGGCGGTGTGGCGGTGCGGCGTTTTTTTTTTGTTGGGGGGAATTCCCTTTTGGTTGGTTTTAAGAGGAAACCACAAGAAAACCCAACAGGGAGGCGCCAGTGGAGGTTGAGCCAACTGTGCGGTGGTTTTCGTTTGTTGTTTTCTGGAATTTGTTTTTTGGTTTGCGTTTTGGTGTGGTTTGATTGTGCCTTGGTTTCAGTTTAGTTTTGTGTTTGAGGTTTTGCTGCTTTGATTTGCTTTGTTTTCCTTTGTCCTTTGTGTGAACATCTCTTAAAACATGTTTGGGTGGGACACACCAAACAATTGCAACGGCCTCCTTACAGTTTTCGTCTACGGCACATTTGGGTTTGTTGCACTCAGCATCAACCGGCACTTCAACAGTTGGGCCTGAAAAGGGCAGGTGGCTAGGTGGCACCTGTTGTGGTAGCAAGCACGGCCCAACCAGCTTGATGGTTTTTTCCATTGACAGGGTGTGCTTCCCATTTCCCTTTGAAGGGAACCTCCAAAAGTGGCTGTGTCAAGGTCTCGGTCCTCCAGTAGTGCCCCTTTACCCTTTTTCGGGGGAGGGTTCCACTACTAAGTAGACTACAGAAAAAAGGTGGTACCCTTATTCAGACCTCTCTACTGGAGGACCTAGAGGTACACCACCCGTAGATTTCAGCTTTTGAGGACATCCAGTGACCCCAGTTCAACCTCCAAGGAGTGGCCTTTGACCCCCAAAGGAGTGGCCACTTTGTGCATGAGGTCTAACCCATTCCCGGTTTCGTGCGGTGCCCTCGAGACGTGCATAGGCTCTCACCAAACCACTTGTCCGTTTTGCGGGCATTTTCTGGGGTGAGGGGGCCCTATTTCTACAGGCACGCCCACAGCTAAAAGGCAGAACTCGGGTGCTTCCAGCCACCACTGTAGGCTTTTAGTTGCTTAGGATGTTTGTTTCCTTTCCCCAGCCGGTTCTAAAGGGAATCTACTCCCAAAAACAACATAGAACCTGAACAGGGGCTCCTAGAAGATCTTTCTTTTAAAGAGACCCCTGTGCAGGTTCTACGTTTGTTTTCCGCGGGGTGTCACTACTGGACATACTGTGGATGGACGAAATCCTGCACCACCCAAGAAACCCTGGATTGATGATTCCCTTGCAAATACCAAGCAAACAATGGTTCCCCGTGGTTTTTAAGTGGTGCAGGATTTTGTCCATCCACAGTATGTCCTCTTTTTTTGAGGGGGCTTTCTCGCAAGTTCGGTCAGTGTTGGGCAGCTCTGCTTGGCCGCAGCTCGGTCAGAAATGTGGTACATGAATCCCCAGTTAGGCGAGTGTTTTGTTGAACACCCCTTTTCAGGTTGGTTTAAAGGGCAAACCAAACCATTCGGCACGTGGTTTCCCATACAGAACCATGGGTGAACTCAAAATCAAGATCCAGCACCCCTCAACTGCTTTTTAGTTGCCGTACTTGGAATGGACATGTTGAAAATCAAGGGTGCTGGGATGTGAACACATATGGCCACGAATGGCTTGCTGGTGCGAATAGGGACCGACCGAGTCCGGAGGTTGAAAGGAAACCGCCAGTTGGATGGTTTCTCTAGCTCAGTTGTTCAGTGGCACCAATTATGTTTCCTGTTCTTTTGGTGGCTTTTTCCGCACTAAAAACGGTTTTCCCCAAAAAGGGTTCCCTTTTTTCCTGGGTCACTGAACAACTGAGCTAGGGCTCAGTCCGCACATCTCGTTGCCTCTCCCAGGACTTGGCAGCACTGGCTCTGATCGCCTACGAGGTGGACTGCGCTAAAATGCCGCAGCTGCTGCAGGAGCGAAGACGAGTCAAGTCGTTTTGTTTTTCTGGCGGATTGAAACGGGTTGGAGGGTTTTGTTTTTCTTCGGGCGGATCTTCGGATGGTTTTGTTTTTGGAGGTCCCACGCACCATGCCCAGGTCAAAGGAACCCAAAGGTGGGTTTTGAATTCATTCGATGGCGTTTCAACCCACGAAAGGCCACAGGCGATTCTCTTATTCGATGGTTTTGGTGCTTCCGCCTACGAAAAACAATTCCATCAGCCGATTGGTTTTTCAACCTCTGAGCAACCATCCCACTCAACCTCTGAACCCTCGAGTGGTTCAATGGGAGTCTTACTGGTGGCTTTGGAAGAGTCGCCTTCGGAGCTCCTGAATCTGAACGAGCCAGATCCTCCATTTTCATGGTCAGCAACGCCGGCGGTTTCTCTATTGAGAAGGTCGGGTGAGAATGGATTCAACCCCTAGACGGCTTGGGAAGACCACAATAGGTCCAGTAGTCCCATTTCCCTGCATAGTAGGCAACCAAGGAAGCCACCCCATACCAGCCAAGAGGGAAGTTTCTGGTTAATTACTGTCACAGAAGTGAGATAGACAGGGCCCCTCTTTGAAATGTGGCACTTCCAGAGGTGCCCTTTTCTCTCTTGGGGTTTCCCTTGAACCAAGCAGACATAGAATGGTTTTCCATGGAAATGAGGTCTGGGTTCAGGCTTTTGTTCAGATGGCCACGGTTTTTTCTCCCCAATTTAGTCATCCCTCTTAGGGACAAGTATGCCATGTTTTAGGGTTAAGCATTCATGGAGAGGGGGCTAGGGGAAGGGGGACTATCTGTTATTAACCCCTTAATAAGGCCTTATTAAGGGCTTATCCTTGGCTAATCCTAGCCCCCCCCACCCCTCCACCCAAGCCTTCTTAGGAGTCCATGAAACATAGATTTCCATATTTTTGGAACCGTGAAAAGTGGCGATCGTTTCAATCAAGACCACCTGTAACTTGCTGCTGCGATAGGCAGGGAATGACCCTCTTCCGGGTGTTGGGACTGAACCAGCTTGGGGGTCCCCTTGAAGGAAACCACCAGTTTTTTTTTTTTTTTTTTTTTTTTAGTTTTTTTTTTAAGTTGTTTTTTTTTTTTTTTTTTGTTGGGGTCATTCCGTTTCTCATTCCCTGCTCAAAAACCAGAAACAAAAGCAGGTCCCCCAGTGCCCTTTTACCAGTTTTTGGTTGGGAGGGTTCACGTATTATAGACTACAACAAAAAGTTGGTACCGTTATTCGAACCTCTCTACTGGAGGACCTAGGCAAGGTAAATTGCTGGGGCAATCCGTCGCCAGGAGAGCTTTGGGCGCAAAGCGCCCAGGCGAGGGGAAAGGGTTGGGAGATGTTTTCTTGACAGCCGCACTTCCTGATGGACTTGAAACACTTTTTGGATTTGGACCAGAAATAAAAACAGCTTGTTTTGTTCTTTTCGGCCAAGCCACTCAGGCAGTGAGAGCTGGGGTTCTTTTTGAGTTTAGCAGCTTTCTTCCTTTTGGGGGGCTGTTTTGCATGTCTGGGAGTCTTAAATCTGCTTCCCTCCTTGGTTTGGTGGTTTACCATGAACCCTCTACAAGAACCAGGGGCTGAATTCCCCGAAACGAATCCACGAATTGGGAGTTTCGTGGGGCTTCCCACGTACCAACCAGAACCCCATATGGCTGTGGCTGAAATAAATGCACCAAAATGGCACCTAGGTAAATGGAACCAAAGACTAAAACCCGCGAACACCCTAGCTCTTTATTTCTGAGCCACACCATGTTGAGTTTCTGTTTCCCGGATCCCATGTGAGTGTGTCCTGTTCTAAATTGGAACCCTTCCAACAACTTGGTGGTTTTCCTCCTGCCCCTTTCAACCAGCCCAAAAGACATAATCAACAAAGGGCCCCAGGTCAACTTCTGGTTCGATGCAGTTCGCCTCTTTGCAAATCCTTCCCTGAAGGACGTGGTGCTTCTTTAGCAGGGTCGCCTGTAAATCCTTCCCTGAAAAAAGAGGTGTTGCTTCTTTAGCAGGGTGAGCCTTCTCATTGGTGTGTCTCATGTCTCACTTGGGGGGAGATCCAGGTGATGCTCTCGAGCAGGTTGGAGCACTGCAACCCCCACGACCAGCTCCCTCGGTGGCTGGCTTTGCGCTTTCCCCCCACGCGGCTCCACGGCCGCGGCTCCATTGGCACAGGGATGGATGGGGTGGGGGGGGTTGATATGGTTGACCCCAATTTGGGTTGTATCCTTTTTTTGCTTCTTCTTGCTGTTGGGGGTTATCACCGTCAGAAAAAGATGGAGTTGTGTTTCTTCCATTTGCGTTTCAGAATATGTGTGTTTGTTCCATGGTTTTACAGGGAAACTTTCACTACTGTACATATTTGTTCAGTTTTTCCGAGGGGGCTACCACTTCGCTTCGCAGGTGACTTTATTGCAAATGATTCCTATAAATTTCAAACGGAGAATCTTGACTTCCTTTCCGGTGTTTGGTTGCAGCTGGAAGTCCTTGCAACGAGCTACAGGCAGACATGACTTTTGCCATCCGGTTAGGTGGCAAAAGGGGCGAACGGACTTGCTTCCACGGTTTTTCTCCTATCATGGCTTAGTTTGGGTTTGAAGTGCCCAGCATTCTAAATGCTGAGGCCCTTGTATTGATTGCAATCGGTGCTTTGCTTGGAGTTTGTACCCTTTTAAGATGTTAATTTCCAATCAAAATAAAGACCCTTTTTGAGGGACGGCTCCCCATAGGACAGGAACCCAAGAGGTTCCTCCGAGAGACTGAAACCTGGTTTATGCTTTTCCATATGTCGCTGGTTTTAAGTCCTTGTGAGGAAATGGTGAAGCTCTGGATTGAGCGGATTGTACAATTTGTGTGAGTGTTTCTCTTTTGAGACCCCTTTGCTTTTGGCCCGGTCTTTAAGGGAAACCACAACCAAGAGTCAGTGAATAAGGACACCGCTCATACCCCCCACTTTGGAACATATTCCCAGAGACAGAAAACGAATCGAACCAGCCGGGTTCTTTTGGGGTTTTCCCTCACCTTTCCGTTGGGTTTTCCCTAACCACCGATTCGGCAAACCAAACCACCGGAAGCGGACCCACCGGCTAAGAATAAATGAATCCAAAGACCTAGGTTGAACCGGGCTGGTTGAACCACAGAGCCACCTGAGCCAGAATCAAAACCCGGGTAGATGAAGGTTAGTAAGGGATACTCCCAACCTGATATCCGCCTCCTCAATTCTTGAAGCATGGTTCTGGGATTACGACCATTCTAATACCGGTTTTTTGATAATGACTTACCACCAACCACGGAAGCTAACAGTGGCAGCCCAACAAAAGCTCGAAAAAACTTGAGTTGCACCCGGGCCGGTTGAATTTGCAGAGGGCCCACCTGCAGCATTTTCACTGGCCGCTCGCCGCATGTATGTTCCCATCTCAGGCGGCACGCGGGTCTTCGCGCTGAAGGGCACCTCCTCCTGGCGGGACGTCTATGCGGACATCAAGCTCTTCGCCACCATCGAGGCGCTTTGGCGCTAGCGCGCAGCGCAAGCGGGCGAAAGGGCGACGTGGGGTTGGGCGGCGTGGTTGGTCTTTTTTTGTGGAGTTGGGACCCTGTTGGTTGGTGGGGCGTCGGGTTCTTTCTTTCTTTCTTTTTTTAAATACCGCATTTTGTTCTCCATTTTTTGGAGTTGGGACCCCTTTGGTTGGCGGTTTTTTAGATGGGACACCACAAGGAAAGCGATGCTGAGGGCGACCCCAAAAACAAACAGGCCTGGATTGGGCGTGCTAAAAACGAGGGTAGATGAAGGCACCAAATCCGAAAAAGAGGTGCTTGACTGAGAACCAGCAAGCTTAGTAATTGGGATAGGATGAGTCCCTTTGTGACCACGCTTGTAACCTGCCCAGGGGCACCAAATTTTCGACCAAGGGGCTAAGACATGTTCAGACCCAACTTTTCTCTTGGGTGCCCACCTGGTTTGCGTTTAACTTCATCCCTTCAAGTCCACAGAAACATCGGGCCATGGGTCAAATTCCGTACCCCCCAGTGAACATCCCCATCCCCACCAAAACAGGTTCTAAAAATGGGTGGTGAATTCACGTACCAACCAAAATGGGATCCCAAAATGGTTTTGACAACCACAGCCATCTGGAGTCGAGTCGTCTTCGGGACCGGTTCGAGTCGAGTCGGGACCCGTCGAGTCGCCGGATGCAGAAAGGTCTTCCAGGCCTTGTCGAAGATTGTGCCCATCCTCTCGCTGCTGCCTGTGCCGCTGGTGCCACTTGGCTGTGGTTGCCAATGGGATCCCATTTTGGTTGGTAGGGTGAACGGGTCCTGCGACTCGACTCCAGATGGCTGTGGTGGTTTTGGTTGGTAGGTGAATTCACCACCCATTTTAGGCTTCCTATTTTAGTGGTTGGATTGGTTGATGTTCACTGGGGGTACGGAATTTTGGATTTTGAAAAGCCCATGGCCACTTGATCCATTCGCTCCATCGGAAGTCCAGACATGGGTTGGGCTTGGAGGGGACGCAAAAAAGCGAAGAAACCAGATCTGGTTCTCAGCAGGGAAGGAGGGAATGACCAAACATCCCTGGTGGTTTTCTTTGGGAATGGACTGGGTTCATTCCCTCATTCCCTACTGAGCACCTGCAAACAAATGAGGCCCCAGATCGGGGAACCGAGACATCCGCCAAAAACTGATTGGAAGTCGGGGAGTGGGGTAACTTCGGAAGCTCCATGGTGCCAACTTCCCTTTCGTGGGAAAACTAGATGACCACGAATCACATTTTGGTTTTTAGAGGTCACAAAAAAGGATGAATCAAAGGGAGAACCATTGGACCACACGACACCGGCTGAGGAAAGAGTTGCCCTTGCAAAGCTGGTGGGGTTTGGATGTATCCTGAGGGGGAAGCCTGTGCACGACTTTAAAGCTCTTCAGTTTCGGTTCTTCATGAGTTTGGCTTCTGCAGATGTCACTCAGTTGTTCAGTGGCACCAATTCGTTTTCCCTTTATTTTGGTGGCTGCCCCACTAAAAATGGTCTTCCCCAAGAAGGGTTCCCTTTTTTTCCAGGGTCACTGAACAACTGAGACTGTGACAAAGTTGAAGACATGTTTGTAGTCCCTCATGAAACCAGGACGGGAGCTCCCTTTGGGCAAGCTGAAAGCTAAAAGCTGGTCACTTTTGCTTGGTCGGGTTCGTCACTTTTGTACCATGCCTAGCGAAGTTGGAAGTGCAGAGACCCTTTTTGTACCTCCCAAGCCGTTGGTGAGAGCGCATCTACCTGAAACCTGAAATGACCAAACTGGTTTTCCATGTTGGTCTACTTTAATGTTGACCCAGGATGAATAAACCCGTCCCATTCTTATGGGGGTGTTCCCTCCAAAAGTGATGAATCCCGACAAAAAGGCGACACCCCCTATCAATCAACCAGTGGCTTATTAATCCGGGGTTAACATTAATGGCCCCAAATATTTTGACCCCCTTTCATAAACCTGTCCCGGGGCAACTAAGACTCAGTAGGTTGAACATCCTAGAAGCCAGCCCAAAGGGTCCAATTTGAGGATGGCTGAGGCGCCGGAAAGGGGATCTCAGCCGAGGCAAAGCATCGTGGGCTACACAGGCGAACGGGAAATCGACTTCCCCCCTTGATTGATTTACCCCCTTTGAAGGGCACTGGTGTCTCTGTTTTAGTTTTTGTTTTAGAGGAAACACGTCAAGGGAAAACCTGCACGGGGGTCCTGTTGCGAACCCCCTCCCCCCCCAAATCGCGGGTTTCCTTTTAGGTCGGTTTCGGGTGAAAGTCAAGGGCGGTGCTCATTCTTTTCTGTTTCGGGTCAAAGCCGGAAACAAAAGGGTGGTTTTAATCCTTTTCCGTTTCGGGTGACAGTTTCCAAAAAGTTTCCCTTTTGCCTACCAAGTCGGAGCTGATGCGATTCGCCAAGTTAGTCAAGCTGTTGGTACCCGTTCGGTTCTAAGCCGCTGATGAGTCCTCCATTCGGGCCAACCTTAGATGGTGACCCACCCCACTTGGCGATCCAACCAGAGACACTTGGCGAATCCAAGAAACCAAGTCGACCTGGCCCTGTTTTTGTCTGCACTCGCCCAACTCTGATATTTTTTCGGGGTTTGACGTGAGCAAGGGGGTCTTTTTGCCAGCTTTCGGGGAAAAACGATCGACCCCCTTGTAGCGAAGGATTCCCTTTTGAGGGGGTCGCCCATTTTCTCACAAAAGGTGGCAGAAAGACCCCCCTGGACGTGAAAAAAGGGCAGGCGTTCCGATGTCGCGGGATCGCTCGCAGGCTTCTCGGAGGCGAACATGTGGAAGGTCTTGGAGGAGGCGATCGACTCCAGCAACCCCTCCGACGTCACGGCGCGAATCGAGCCGAGCCGAGCCGAGCCGAGCCGGCGGGGGCGGCGAGGGCGGAGGGTTGGTGGGTGCCTCTTTTTCTTTCTTTTTTTTGGGGGGGGGATGGGCGCGGTATTTTTAGGTGTTTGTTTGTTTTCTCTGAAGTGGTGGGGTGTGTTTGTTAGTTCTTTTCTGGGGTGGTGGGTGGGGGAGTTGTGCCTTTACATTGCCAGACTTTAGCCACAAACATGATTCGCCCATTGCCGTGAAGTAATCTGGTTTAGTAGTACCCACAGCGTTTTCAGACCCTTCCAGAACCGTTTGTGGGCTTCCCCTTTCTCCTCTCAATAAGGCATGTGCCTTTTGAGGGGCACAGAGTCTGGCCCCATGAGCAGTGGGACGTTTGGTTCTCACGGTGAGACCAGTAGACACCACCTGGGCGCTGTGTAGTCAGATTTCAGAGAGTTCCACTCCCTACTTCAACCATTCTAGTGCTACCTTCCACTTCCATTGTCAGGGATCCATAACCTTCAAGTGGAAACGTGTGTTTTTTTTCTATTGAGAATGATCGGTGAGAATGAAATCGGATACCGTGGAATTGCTTGCTGGTTTGATAAGCAGGGAAGAAAGACCCCAAGAAAGGCAATTCCCCTTGGTTTCCTTTAAGGGAATCCCCTTGCGGTTTATTGCCAACACACCATCTTGGTAGAACCAACCGTCAAACATGGCCCTTTGCACACCGGGTCATTCCCACCCAAAACGGGGCAACATAGACACCAGGTGTTTGTTTATGTATATATATATACACATACATGTCGCCCTCTCTCTCTCTCTCGCTATATATATATATATATGTATATATATACACACTGGCACGTTCAGTCGCCAGGGGTCCTCATATTTCTCTTTGTCGAAGGGCCATTTCAGCGACTCATGTTGCTATTCCACGGCTCTCTTCTCAAATCGTGCAAAGTTTGGGTAATATCGCGACGTTAGATCTAAATATGTGGTTGCACCCCTTCTTCATACCCCTTAGTTCCCTTCCCAGCTCCGAGCCTCTTTATGATTAAACACACACACACACCCACACACATCAATTTCAAAGGTAGAACACGTGGCGAAGGGTTCCCTCCGGTTTCCTTCACTAGGATCAATGTTCTACCCAAAACTCCATTGGAGCAACCCATCGAACTATCAGTGCAACTTGGCCCAGACATTTGGCCATGGGTCAAAATCCTGTACCCCCAATAGGCTAAAGCGGGCGGTGCCCCAAAATGGGATCCCATTGGTTTTGACCCACAGCCATTTTGTTGCCCAAACCGCAACCCTCCGACCGTGGACGATGGCCAAGAAAACGCCACGATGAGTCACGGGTAGGACTCGCCTCCCCTGGCGATCGAAGGCAGTTGTATGGGTTTGGAGGTACTGTGGATGGACGAAATCCTGTAATTCCCTGAAATTCTGATTCCCCTGTAAATACCAACAAACACATGGTTTCCCATGTTTCAAAGTGGTGCAGGATTTTGTCCATCCATCCACAGTATGAAGGCGTTTCTGCCGCTTGAACATGCCCTTTATTCGAGTGAGCTCAATAAAATCCTAATTTGACGACCAGCGCTTCTTGCGCTCGCCTTCGCCCGCCTTCGCGTGTGAGGTGGTCACGGGGCACTCTTTAGGAGGCCTCATCGCGCAGATTGTCGCGGCGAGGAGACTTGCTTGGGTGTGGCCCTGGTGTACCCATGGGATTGCTTTTGGAACCAAAAGGCAAACCATCGAGTTTGGAGGCTCTTGTATTTGTGCGACCCCACTTAATCAGCTGGGAAGCTGCAAATTCTGGGTTCTCATCACAGCCTACGTCGTCAGGTAATGTGAGGATGACCCTTGACCAACCACCAGTGGGTTCTAGTTGCAAGCTTGATTCCCAGATTCCTTTTGGACGACCATCATCGAACGACTGGCAGCTGTCCACTTCCAGTATGGTTGAAATTGGGGTTGATCATAAACCATGGTCATCCTGCGGATGGAGGAAACCCATTTCACATCACTTTGAAACCATGCGAATGAAGCCATAACGTTTGTCGGTATTTACGTTGGGGAATCGAATCAGAACTTTCAGGGTTTCTGAACGGTGCTGGATGGATTTCGCAGCGCTGTGGGTCTAAACCAATGGGATCCCATTTTGGGTAGGTGAATTCACGGACCCATTTTAGGCTTTACTTCAGTGGGGATTGAATCGGATGTTCACTGCGGGCCATTTCATTTGCCTGACACGGCAGGTAACCGAGGGCTTGCCAGCCTCGAACAAACCAAAAGGAAAATCTCAGTTGTTCAGTGGCACCAATTCTTGTTCCCTTTTTTTTGGTGGCTGCCCCACTAAAATTGGTCTTCCCCAAGAAGGGCTCCCATTTTTTCCCCGGGTCACTGAACTGAGCAATTGCTGGTTGCCTACTATAGTGGCTTGCCTGGGATCTGCAGTACCTACTTACAAAGTAGCTTGCACGTTCTTCTGAGGATTCGCCGAGGGCGGGACATCTTCGGCTTGAGTGAGATAGCTAGTTCCATACGCGTCCGACACAATATAAGCAGGTAAGAACATGACAGCCGGACAACCACACAGCAGATGAATAAAGACCAAAACAAGATCATTTTATGGACTAATGAATGAACAAATGGATCGTCAATGAATGAACAGCAACAACTAGATGTATTGATTAGTCAGTCGCGCAAAACGCAAACACAGTTTCATGGCTAGTCATGAAATCTGAAGTCTCCAACATTATTGCAGGAGACGAAATACGGAACATCGTCTTTTCCTTTGTGTGTGTCCAAGATTTCGGCCGCATTTGTTCCTGGGTGGTTGGTTCCTTTTTGCGTCCCTTTAAGAACTCCCTACTTTGAGACAGACCCTGTATCTAAAGTTTCCACTATCCCCCCTCCCATCACAATTTCTTGAGGTTTATTGGTTTAATGGGATATGCAACCATGATGTTTAATGGGGAACCCGTTTGGTGGACATTAAAATCCAAACTTAGCCAGGGCGTCGATCGAAATTTCTGGCCCCCAAAAAGACCATGTGGGGAATCTCATCTTTTGGGTGGGTTTCCAACCTATGGTCATCCCATGTATTGAAAGGACCTTTTGGTCAACCCCGACAAACCTATTACCCCCCCTGAATGGTGGTTTGGTGCAACCTAACAAATGAGCGCCAAACAAACCCCGTAGTAAAATTTGGACACGCAGACACACGGAACTGTTACAGACACCCAACAAATGAGCACCCTAGTAAAAGTCATAGCCATATTACCGATATACGCTAGAAGACTATCTACCCCGTCTTCGCTGTGGGAAACCGCATCAAAACGACCGCCAGGAAGCATTTGCCTGCGCTGGTCTTCTCTTCCCCAGGACCGCCGGTTGACCTGAGAGCCCCGTATTTACCGGGTGCGAAATCTTTTCTCTTTTCTTTTTTTTTTGGGGGGGGGATGGGGATGTTGTTTTTTTTTTTGGGGGGGGGATGGGGATGCTTTTTGTTTTGGGGTTGGGGGAGTGGGGGGATGTTTTTTTTGGGTGGTTTCAAACGGAAACCACAAGGCCCTTGCGCGGGAGGTCCGATCCCTGCAAAACGACACCCACGAACAAATTGATTAGTCCCTTCCCCCTAATAACAACGCGGACCCCTCCCCCTCATAATAAACACTCTCTGCGGGACAAACCATACTCATTCATAGGGTCCTGTGGGGTCGACCGGATTTCCTCTTTGGTCCTCGTCCAAATGCCCCCCCCCCATCCCGAACACGAAAAGCCTCAAAACCGCAATTTTCCGAGTAGCGAATTTAACTGAATCCATTTCAGGTTGTTTTTCGTTTTTGCGGTTCAAAAGTAAAGGGCGCAGTTTGACCTTTGAATTACAATTCAAGAAATTAGCGTAAATTAGTAAAAATAAGTATGCATTTAGAGTTTGGTATTGGGTTGGTGCAAGGAGCCCCCTAATAAGGCTTGGGCTGGTCTGGGCGGAGACATCGGATAGTTTAGTACTGGTTTTGAATTGGGCTATTCTAAAAGTAGTATCAGTCTGGAAAAGCCGTATTTAAATAAATGGGGTCCATTTATTAAAAGGGGGAAGGGATTAAACTGAACCACAAGGGAAACCAAAAGGGACGGGTCATGGCTATTTTTTCCAGACCTGTTCAGCACCTAGCTTTGCCCTGAAAATGCTGTTTTTCCCTGGGGGCGGTATTTTTTTGGGGAGACTTTGCATGCCCTTTTTTTCCCTCTGCTTGGGGATTCCACCAGTTCGTCTTTCCGTCGTTTTCCTTTGATGCCCCGGCTGAAAGCCCTGTCTCTGGCAAATGCCCGGTGTCTCGTGAAGGGAGGGGAAGGTGTCGGACAGGTTGCCGGGGTTGGCTAAACCCAGGCACACACTCCTACTGTGGATGGACGAAATCCATTTCGCACCACCTAAGATTCCCTAAGATGATGATTCCCCTGTAAATACCATCAAAATGGTTTCACATGTTTCAAAGTGGTTCGGGATTTTGTCCATCCACAGTATCAATAAGCTGTGGTTGACTAATACAAATTCTACCTCCAATCGATGGTTTGGAGCCAAATCGGTGGTTTAGGTGGTGTTCCGGAGGGGTTTCTCATTTACCCACAAGTGCCAGGGACCCGTTCAACTCTAAATCCAAGCCACCAATCCAAACGACCAATTCAGGGCGACGCAGTCAACAATCGCATCCTGGTTTCGAACCGAGAACAAGAACTTTGGGTTATACAACTACTATAGCGCTGCAGGGTGTACTCCCTTGAAGTGAGATTTGGAGGTAGTGAGACACCAGGATCTGTGCGAAACTATTGAACTGTCCATTCTTGATCCAGGTTTTTGATTGTTGGCAAGCCCCGCTCAGCTTGGAATGGACGTAGTACCGCGTTCTTCCTCATGGGGGCTGGGGGGAGGGAGGGGAGGGGGAGGGATCTCAAATAAGCCCGCCTTATTTAGGGCTTATTTGAGATCCCTCCCCCTCCCTTCCCTCCCCTTCAGTCCCCTTGACTTCCAGGGCTCAATCACTTCGGCACCCCCAAGACGAGGCGGCCTACTTGACCCCATTTTTTTTTGGCCGCTCAGGCGTGCTCTACTCCGCTCGCCGCTTCCAGATCTCTCCCGAGAGCATCTCGGTGAGGTCTTGGCCGGGTTCATGAGGGTCACGAGGGCGAGCTTGGGATTCATTTCTCACTTGAGGTCCTGAACTTGACATGGTGGCAAGCAGACAATTCGGTCACTTTCTTTGGGCGCCGCTCGATCGGAAGCGAGTAAGGGGGTTCTGGTACCCATGACCAAAAACCTGCCCAACCTCCAGCCACACATTTCCCCTTGGCCTTGTTTGTCCGCGACCTCGCTGCAAGGTTTTGAGGTTTGCGACGACGGAGGGAACCTTTGGAGCTCCGAATTGGAGGGAAAGACCTGGGATAGACATAGTTGGGATCGGCGAACCGCGGAAAATTGGGGATATGGGATGTTGACCACCAAGTGGTGCCTTCTGGAAATTGGGATTGGATTTGGAGCTGTGTGCAACGGTTCTTGACCCACAGTACGACCCACAGTACAGCTCAAATTTGGGCATGTGGGTTGCGAGCCGAAAAGGGTGTGGCCTCTCCTGATGATTTACCCTGAGTTTTGGGCCCCTTGGGTAGGGTTGTGATTGTTCGGCTCAAATGGCCCATGTCTTTGTACCAGAGCCGAAAGGAACACGGACGGCCCCGTTTGGTTTTCTATGGGGGAAGACATTGAAAGGAAGCAACCATTCCCCCCAATTTTGACCTGTGGAGAGGGGTTGGGGGTGGTTGGTTTGATGGTTGAGGGGTTGGGGGTGGATAGCTCCATTTCGCTCTTCAAGGCACCCCCTCAACTCACGCGCCATGGCACTGCATTGATGTGACCATGGTTCAAAACCAATGGTACCACTTTGGGATAGGTGCACCACCCATTTTGGAACCAATATTAATGAGGATTGGGATTCACTGGGGGCTAACCGGGGTTTTGACCCATGGCCATGTGCCTCGCACGCGCGAGTCGTGCGTCGTGCGAGTCGTTCGAGGCGCTCGGCACGTGGTGGTCCTTGTCCCGGACGGGGATGTGGTCTCCCAGGTGGATGAGCATGCAGGCTGCCTGGCGGCGATGTGTCTGGTTTTGGTTTGCACCAGCTTAATAGTGTTGCTTCAGAATATGTTCAATTTTCCCTTGTTGGTTTTAAAAGGAATTTATCACTACTGGAAATGCTGGGTCCCCCAGCTAGGTGCTCTTTTTAACTTGGTTGGGAGGGTTCCCCTACTAAAATAGACAGAAACAAGTGGGTGCCAACTTATTCTGACCTCTCAATTCTGGAGGACCTTGGCGAAACCTCGAGTTGCAACTCGGATTGGTGAGATTAGTTTCAGCTTCCCTCTGGTTTGTTAGGTTCCCTCGAAGTGGCTTGGATTGGTGAGAGTAAGGGTCTCTAGTTACTCCCAGGAAGGGGCTCGATTCGAATCCAAATCTAAACCGCCAATCTAAGCCACCAACTAGGGTTCCCTCTGGCTTGACATCTTTGAACAACCATAGTTTGAAGGACCTCCTGCTTGAACGACCTCCTTTTTGGTGTTCCGTTAAAGGGGGCCAAACCTTAACCCTCCGTCTAGCGGAGTCCCGTGAAAATTGGTTGGCGCGAGACCCGGCAGTGAAACGGGCCAAGGAACGTGTCGTGTCAGACCCATAGAGTGGACACCACCGTTCAGAAATCCAACGGAATGATTCGACCCCCCCCTAAAAAAACGAAACAAACCTTATGGTTTCATTCCCATGGCCTCCCCCTGAAAATGCAAACAAACCTGAAAGGTTCAACTATGGTGTCATTTCGTGGCGACATCGAACGGATTTCGCCATGCACAGTAGGCGTCCCTTTTGAGCTTCGTTTGGAAGCCAATCGTTTGAGCCAATTCTTCGCCTGGAGAGCCATCTGCCATTTGCCAAGTTCAGGTTTCGAGCTCTGCGGGTACGAGCGGCAAGCATTTCGTTAAATGCAGGTCCTTTGCTTGAAGATGTATTTACCTGGAGTCTCCATGACCCTTTAAAAATGGGGTCAGTAGCCGAAATAATGGGGTCATGGACCCATTTTTAAAGGGTCATGGAGACTCATGCTGTAGAACAAACATGCAGATTGACTTTTGCCCATGTTCTTTTTGTTTGGGGGGGGCGCGCCAGAATCTGTGATCTCTGCTTTTTACGGCCCCCAAGATTCGCAAGTTTGAGAAATCCGGCGAGTTCTCGGCTTGAAACGGGCCTCGATGGGAACCCCGGATCTAAGTGGAAGCCCCGGTCGATTTTGACCGGACAAATGTCCCTTTTTTGGTAATGCTTTCCGGCTTCCTTTTGGAGGAACATCCTCCCCTAATACGATGGGTGAAAAGAATCCGGGGTTCCCATTCCGTTTGACTTTCTCCGTGAGCTTCTCTTTGTGACATAGTTGGAGAACGTCCAAGACACGTCGTGGCTATGGCTATGGGTCTTTTACCTTTAGCTTCCGAAAGTTTGTGCTACTGTGTGTGTGTGTGAAAATGTGAGTGTCCGGCCAAAATGGCTTCGTTTGTCCTTTCGTTTTCTCTTGGACCCCTCCAAAATGCCACCGGCAAAAAGCTCGCCACTGGTTCTGCAGGCGTGGTGCAGCGAATTGCTTGCCGCAATAAGAATGGCGAGGCGCTCGTGGTGAGCCAGCAAGTCGTCAAGAGGATGCCGTTTTTGCAGGGTTCAAGTGGGATCTCCTGCAAATCTATTTGGCCATGGGGCATAACCTATGGCTCCATTTTGGGGTGATGAGCATCCATTTGCCACCTAGTTTGATGTTCACCAGGGGTACAGGGTTTTGACCCACAGCCATTAAGAACTATGGTTTACCAAAGATGAAGCAGAGTCTGAACACAGCTGTGTATGTGGCATCCGAAATTAACCCATTGGTTGGAAACCATTCAACGGGTCACTAAAAAAACCGGCAGCTCCATTTGTGCGTGGCTGGTTGCAAGGGATCCTGTTTGCGAAAGCTGCCAGGGCTCACGATGGCTGGCATGCAAGGTTGCTTAACATGTGTTTGTGGTGTGCTGCGCACCTGAAGTAGCTTGATTGCTCGATTGCTCGACACAGGTGCGGCGTGCGTTCGTTGTGTGTGTGTGTGTGTGGGTGTGTGTGCGTGCGTGCGTAGGTGCGTGCATGCGTGCGTGCGTGCGTGCGTGGGAGCGTGGGTGGGTGCGTGGGTGGGTGCGTATGTGTGTGTGTGTGTGTGTGCGGTCTGCGCAAACAGGTCATACCTACCATCATCGGGAGCTGTTGTAAATGGGGACCGCGCACCAGGCATTGACCCTTGCTCAGATCACTCCCTGATCTTCGACGTTTCAGAATCGAAGTTTAGCCACGATTGACTCAGCCAAAATTCTCACGTGGATGTGTCTTAGAACGGCCCTCCAAAAAGTACATAAGCATGCCACAAAGACCCCCCCTGTTAACAAATATATAAACACACGCACACACACACACGCACACCACACACACGCACGCACGCCCGCCCGCCCGCCCGCCCGCCCGCCCGCCCGCCCGCCCGCACGCACGCACGCACGCACGCACGCACGCACGCACGCAGGCACACACGCACACACGCACACACGCGCCCATGAACGCGGAGAGGTCGGGGGTCAGGTGTGGAGTTGGAGCGCGAAATGCAATTCTCTAGCCCCCATTCAGCTTCACCAACCAGAGACAATCACAGAAGAAGAAAAGGGGCAAGACAGTACACAGAGCCACTTTTCAGTCCAAGAGCTGCAGCCAAATCTGAAGTAAGGTGGTCGATCAAGCTGGCCATTTGATTTGTCGCGATCTATTGATTTTGTGGTTGGACGTGGTTGGTTCACCGTGAAATATTTCGTTGGAATCCATGATACGTCCTGGTTTAAGGGGTCTGTATGGGTTTCCGTTCATTTCTGTATCAACAAGCTATTCCACATCTCTTTCCGCATCTGCAGTTGGAGATGTGATTTTCCGATCTCATGAATCATTTTTAAATCCACATCCCCAGTCAACCTGGCCGAGATGCAAGCTGGATCATTGTGGCCTAAAATGGAGGGGCCTTTCCTGAAAAGATTGGACTCTTGGTTTCCAGGTTGCAAAGAGAGGAACCTTATCCACAATGGTGAAAGAGGCCGTTGAAAAGCTCCAATCCGGTACAGGGAAGACCCGAGAGGTTGGCTTCCAGGTTTCGAAGGTCTCCGCGGGAGACGATCCCAAACGGGGTGCATGGTTTCGTGTTTTTTCTTTCGAATGGGGGGGGGGGGGGGGCGGGGGGCGAAAATAGAAAGCGATTCCTTGGCCTTGTTGTTTCAGAATCTGCCAGGGCTATCTTTTTTCCCGAAACACCCATGATCCAGAGTGGTTTGAAGATTTTAGATGGGAAGCCACCTTCAAGTCCAAGCAGTTCCAGCTGTCAGGGATTTGGGTGACTCTTGTTCGATCGGCAGGCGAGAGAAGCATTCAGAAAGTGGGTGTTGACCATTAGCACAGAGTCATGCTTCAAAGTTTAGATCGCAACGGTGACATCAAAGTGGAAGAGCTAGGGTTATGCAGGCTTCGCTGTTTGTGTCCATTTACCAAGGTGCCAGTCTGGGTACCAGGTGGCCCACAGCCATGTATGAGACGGGCAAACATCAATGAAGCAGCCAACACTCAGAGTTTAAAGTGTATTCCGTCGGTCGAGGCGGCCTCGACGGCCACCTGCCACTACCTGCGCAAGACCGCCTGCGAGCTCTGGCGCGCCTGCTGGGGGACTCGAAAGGGGCCACGGAGAATGTGAGATATCTATGCTATATACTATATATATATATATATGCATATATGCTACATACATGTTATATATATTTGTATATACACATAAATGGCTATATATATATATATGCCATAAATGCTAGGTAGGCCATATATGCTATATATATAGTATGTGCTACGTATGCTTTACATGCTATACATGCTACATGCAAATATGCTGTATATGTGTGTTTCAGGTGGACGAACTATGAAGCCAGCCAACGAATCAAGAGCACAACGGTATGGCTCGTCATAGGCAATTCGGAGCCAGGGGTGATGAGGTTTCCCTCTAAACCACCCCCACAATTTTTGGGTACTCCAAAAACTACACGCACCATGGGTCTGCTATGTTGAGAAACTCCCCACGGTTGTTCTAGTACCCGGTTTCATTTAGGTCATAGTAAGGCCTATATGGCTGTGGCTCAAACAAGTTCCCAATTTGGAACCTTGGTACATGGAGAGATACATGCAAACAAGGACTGAAACCTGCGCAACCCCAGCGCTTTCATTTTGAGCCATACCCATACGACCCGTTACAAGTATGCTGGTGAAGCCAAAAGTGAATGGATGATTCTGGCAACTGCTCATGTGTTTGTGCTTGGATACTTTCAACAGCCAAGGGAGAGGGCTTCCAATGCTCAAGTGGATGCCAGCTCTTTTTTCCTGGTGTGAAGAAACTTCCCACTGATCGGGATTCAGGGGGTCAACATTAGCGCTGACTGGACACACCCTGACTGGTGGCTCCGAAATTCTCGGCTTGGCTGGTTCTCAGGGGAAACAGATGTCAATGAGTTATTTAAAAGCAAAACAACACGTTTCCCATGTCCCAGGGGTGAATGAAAATCCGGGGGTCCCGTTGCCAACCCAACAAAGAATACAACGCCCATACCGTGGATGGACGAAATCCATTTCGCGCCACTTTGAAGCCAACCATTTTTTGCTTGGTATTTAGAGGGAAATCGAATCAACCCCAGTGTTTCTGAACGGCGGTGCGCTGGATGGATTTCGCGTGCATCCGCCCCTATTTCCCTAGGCGGGGATCTGCGCGGCCGGGACTTCTCCGTGACCTGCGACAGCTACGTGGCGCCGGAGCCGACGTGCCGATTTGGGCATGGCTCCGAAAAACCGGAATTCCAAAATGGAACCAAATTGAAGGCAGAAGGTGTCCAAACTCCCATATGAGGGGTGTCTCTTCTGAGTAGGATTCCCCTAAATGGTTGAGGTGTTCCCGTTGATTTTCTTTGAACAACACATGCCTGTGGCTCAAATGAATGTACCAAAATGGAACCCTGGTAAGTGGAAACATGGACCAAAACCTGCGTGACCCATCAGCTCTTTAATTTTCAGCCACTGCCATTTGCATCGTCCGCACTTTTTTCTTTTTAGATGGAAAGGTTTGGCCTACATTCTTCGCCATTCTTTCCAGGGGTCCTTCTTTTCAGGAAAGCCTCAAACAGTCAGGGGACCCCGGGGCAGGTATACTTGGATGCTGCAAGTTCGTGTTTGTGGTTGGGTCGCCACTTTTTTTTTCACCCCCTAACATGGTTAAGCCACGTTACGGACGTATAAGTGTGTTGTAACCTAGGATAACAACAACTTACCCGAACACCAAGTAGGCTTCCATGTCTATTCTTTCCAGGGATCCTCTTCTTTTCAGGAAACCCTCATTTTTTTCCGAAAAGAGGCTGGAATCAAGCCCTAGAAAAGGGGGGAAGGTCCATGGTTTTGGGGGTCCCAAAGATGCACATTTGGGCCAGTGGACAAATTCTTTTCCAGCGGATTTGGCGTTTGGGACTTGGATGTACAACACGCGTAGCCAAAAAAGTGAACCACCCAACCTCAGACTTGGGGTGGGCTTAACCAGCCAGCCAGCCAGCCAACCAACCCACCCGCCCACCCAACCCAACGCGAAGGAGACCTTGGGCAAGGTTTTGGGGGAGGTGCACGGCTTGGGATTTGCCGGGACCTCAGACACGAGCTGGAGCAAAGGGAATCCACATTCGTTGAAACCACTCAAGAAAGATGTTCACCCCTGTTTATTAATATGGGGGTGTCCCTGGATTTAGTGGGGATTTATCACTTTTGGAGGGGAACACTCCCATATGAATAAGCAGGGGTCTATTAATCCGGGGTCAGCGTGGCAGTGCTTCCCCTACCCAGAGATTTGTTTAGAAGCTGTTGCAGTCGTTAGTTGGTGGCGAAATCCCTTTGATTTCGGCGGGGAGTCGAACCAGAACTCTGGGTTTCTTAGGCGATGCAGGTCACATACCCAGATATGTTTTAAGGGTTTTGGAGTCTGGATGTTTTGGACCCAGTTGCGCCTATGGGGTTTTGGAGTCTGATACAAGAATGGGGTGTGTTTTTGTTAGGGGACCCCTAAAATTGTGGTTTGCCTATTGGCTTCCATTGAAAAGCACAGAACATGGTGCCCCCAAAAGCAGCAGACCCATATATTTCCCGGGTTTCCCAAAGTTTTATCAGCATAAGACTGCATGACTTTCTAGCACCCAAATACTTGGCGTGTTGGACCCAGACCGGTTAGAACTCAAGTAGCCTGCCTCAAGGTTGATCCTCTGGTTCCTCAAGGGATACATCAATAGATCACCTTCTTGACAAGGCGATCAGCTGGTAGAGGTAGTTTTGTTGAGGCCCAAATGAGCGACGACCGAAACCCATTGATTTGTGGTTCTACTACAATGGTCATATATATATATATATAAATAGGTGCTTCATTGACGCGCCTATGAAACCTCACCCCATTTTGCGAGGGGACGCCAGATTGTGGTTCCCTTTGGTTTCCCTTCAACAAAATCCTCCAACGTACGGCTCGAACGCGCAACCTGGAAGCAATGGAATCCTTGTCCGAAGATTGGGTGCCGGGCTCACATTGAGTGGGACCTTCGGGGCCGCCGGAGCGCGCCGGAGCGGGGACGCCTCAGCCTCAACTGAGCGGCGCAGACTTCAGCGCGAGAAGCGCGCGTCCACTTGCACTGTTTCAGTGTTGAAGTAGCCTAGGTTTTTCAGTAGGTGCCCAATTTCTCTCACCGTTTCTTGTTTGGTTGGGAGGGTTCCCCTAAAATAGACTACAGAAAAAAGTTGGTACCCTTATTCAACCCCCTCTGGAGCACCTAGGCATTTTCGGTCACAAGGGAAGGATGCCCACCTCTTTGACAGGAGCCTGGCTTCAGGTCCGAGGTCCAAACGATAGGTTTGGACGTTGGCACCCCAGGTTTCGTGAGTCCTCTGCTGACGACGTCCAGAAGACGGCCCGCACAGCGTCGAAGTCTTTTCCTGAGCTGGCCTGGGTTCATGCTTCTGAGATGTTAGGCCACTACCGAACAATACGGGCCCAGTGTCATGCAAACGATACTGATCCGTTGCCTTTGCCAGAAGAGCTCTAGAGCTCTTGGAACATGAGCACACGGTTGACCCTTACTTAGTGATTCACGCAGGCCAGACCGACCGGCCCCCTTCATTTAAGAGAGGAATCTTTCAGGCCTGATCCTCCTGAGGCGCACGTGCATGACTCGTTTCCCTTTAGCGCTGGAGCGACAGGGCAGGAGAGAGAGAGAGAGAGAGAGACAATTGGTTCTTTCCCGAAAGCCAAGCCTCTACCCCTATGACGCAACTTAAGTGGGTCACCCCGGTTGTCGGTTATAGCTGAGCACCCCTGTAAATCCGCTTTTGGACTTAGTCGAGGTTTGCTCATCACTCAGTAGCCTGCTTCAAGTGTCCCGTGCCGAAATCAGTCCCATTTTTTCACCGCCGGCTGTTTGCGGGGGTTTCACCTCGAATGGCTCGTTCCGTCTCTCTCGGCTCAGGACATGGCGGACGCGGATCTCGATGACTGAGGCGGAAACTCTGGCCAGCCGATCAACTGGAGAAGGTCTTGGCTAGAGAATCCAGACAACACCCACCAGCGGATGAACATCGATAACTGAATACTGGGAAGAAAACACATAACTGGCCGTTAGACATCAATGGTTTCTGGGGTGATTGGTGCTCAAAGTCGCCATCTGGGTGGTTCAACTATTCTGCAAATTAGATGGAACCCTGACAAAAGGTCCCCAACAACAGAGGTTCACGCTTTCTTTTTTCTTTTGGCATTCGGGGGTTTCACGTTGACTTGGGTGTGGCTCAAAATGAAACAGGAGGGGCCAACCGCAGGTTTTGGTCCATTCCACTTCCCGATCGGTTTTTTGATTTATCGGGGGTTGGTTCCTGGATTTCGGGTCCCGGGTTGGCCTGAAGCTTTCCGCGCCCCGTCAGGCCGCTGAAGCCGACAGGCACGAGATAAAGGCCGCCGCTTTGGGTTCGTAGAACCCGGGTGTGGTTTGTTTGACGGAACTTTTTTGTTGTATCAGTGAATTTTTGAAGGACATCAAAAGGGAAACCACCTACTTTTAGGCCCTGTCAATATTCCCATGTTGCTAAGTGAATAAGGACAACCACCTAAAGTATACATTGATCTAAAGTTATTTCCAAAACCACCTAATTTCCCGTTTTGCAGGTTGCGAATCCTAAAAAGAGACGCTCATTTTGACACAGTGAAACGATGGGTTTCTTGGAGTCTGGGATGACATCATCCTGCTGAGGATCCTCGAATCGCCACAATGATGCCTTAGGGAATGACCCAATCGGTCATATACGGAGTTTTGACCATGGCACAAATGGGTGTGGCTCAAAATTAAACAGGAGGGGCCAACCGCAGGTTTTGGTCCATGTTTCCACTTACCAGGGTTGATTTTGGTACCGGTTTTTTGAGCCACAGCCATATAGCTCCATTTTGCTTGAGCTTCCCTTGAGGATGTTTACACGGGACATATAAGAGTTCTCAACATGGGCTTTCGGTTGGTATGTTGTTCAAGCCAAAAGGAAGCAAGAACTGATCAACGCCGTAGTGCTTAGTCCTCCAGGCATCACGGCTTGCCACATTGGACGTGAGAGAGCTGGGCCCGGCAGTGGTTTCAGCGGTTGCCACTTGTGCAAAGCCGGCGTTTTCAATTAAAGCGCGGGCTTTTGCCAAGATCGTCTGAGACGACTGGAGCTCCCAGTTGGATAGTCACCTCAGCGGTGTTTCGTGACTTGTCCTTTGTGGGAAGAGACATTTATTGGCAATCCGAACAGTTTGCGTTTGCCTTTTTCTTGCCGATCCACTCAGGCCTTGGTATCTTGCCATGAGTGGACTCCACCTCCTGTCCCAATTGCAAATTCCCGGTTCTTCAGCGGCACCCTCGAAATCCCTTTTCGTTTGGCTCCCCCACGAACGTCGTCGGCGCCATTTTGGGGGCGCCCTGAAAACCAGCTGAACCTGGGCTCTGCTTCCAACTTACTACCCCTTGTCACCCGAGGGCTCAACGGGTTTGTCGACCATTGGGTCCCGTGCCGTCTAAGGACGAAAAGGGCAATATTCTAGGGGTTGATTCCTTGTCCATTCTTTTCAAGCATCGTTTTCTTCAAGAACCGGCTGCTTTTTCTGGGTTTTTGCTGGTTTCCTGAAAAGAAGGATCCCTGGAAAGAATGTGGAAGGTACCGCAAGAAATATAGTTTGAGCGATCAGAAGGTTAGACAGCTGAGAGCAGATATCGGAAAATTGACCAAGAGACGTAGACAGGTGAACAGCAGGTGGGAACGGAAAAGTCTGCCTACAGCGAGCTCACCTGGGGGTAAAACGAGCTCACCATGATAAAGGTTCTTTACTTGGGGATTCTTTACTTGGGGATCTGATGCTTGAGTCAGCTTTTACAGTTCTAGTAAGATTTGCAGAGAAGTGTGGCCCCTGCGTTTGCCTCTCCCAAATGATCTTCCCAAAAGCTGCAGGTCTGCGCATGGTCAAAGGTTGGGCTCCATGCGTCGAGGGCCAGATTCTGAGACGACCCTCTTCTGTCTCCACAGGAAACAGTAAGGTTGACCAAAGGTGAAAACGAACCAGACCATCATATGGGTGTGTCTCTTTTTGAGGGTGCCCCTTCTTTTGTGGTTTTTAGAAGGAAACCAACAGGAACAACCGCCATTTTGGAGGGCAAAAGAAGCACACATATTCTTGCCGTATCCCAAAGTTGGTTCCTTCGTGCTTGACAAGACCACGAGCAGACCTGCACCTCGACTCAGCCAAAGGAGCAGAGTTGCGAGGCTTGGCGAGAATGAGAGGTTTTCCAGGATCTCTGCTGTGTTTGTGTAACCGTTTTTTTTGTTTATGTTCACCCATTGGTGGTTTGGATTTTTCGGGTTTGGAGGTTAGGGGTGGTTTCACTTTTGCCTGCGGAATCCTGGTGAAATCATTTCGGCCCAACCTTTCTCTAAATCCAGAGTATTGGTGTTGTTTTGGTCGAAAATAGATGGCGATTCCTGATTGGCCTGGTTGTTTCATAATCTACCAGGGCCTTTATTTTTTGTGAAAGGACACGTATGATCCAGAGTGGTTTGAAGATGTTGATGGGAAGACAACTTCAAATCCAAACATTCCAGCTGTTTCTCAGAGATTTGGGTGACTCTTTTTCGATAGGCAGGCGAGAAAAGCATTCAGAAAGTGGGTGTTGACCACTACCACAGAGTCATGCTGAAAAGTTTAGATTGCAACGGTGACATTGAAGTGAAAGAGCTAGGGTTATGTAGGTTTCGCTGTTTGTGTCCATTTCCCAAGGTGCCAGTCTGGGTACCATTTTTGGACTGAAGCAGCCAACACTCAGTGTTTAAAGTGTACTCGAACTGGATCACCTTCTCCAGGGTCCTAACAACAGCTATATTTCGGAGTTGTCTAAATATGGAACGTGAATTATTGGTACGTTTCGGCCAACTTCTTCTTGTCAGCCTCAGGTGGCTTTGCAGCCCCAGAAAACGGCGAGCGCGGCGAGGGAGGGGATGTCTTGGGGGGTGGCTAGGGGATCACTGACGCGATCTGGAGCTGGACGGTTTTTTGGAAAATCAGTGTCACTGGAATTCACAGGAAACCAAGTACTTGAGGACTTTTTTTGACAAACGGTCCCTTGGTAACTCCTTAGATACGAAGGGAACCCCAGAACCACACAATGCAAAATGCAGGGGAAACCAAGCCGCCAATCAATTCTTTCGCGCCTGGGTTTTTACTGAAGACCCTACGATGGGAACCCAGCGCTCCTCTCGTAGGTTCCATGTGATCCGCTCTTGGAAATGTGGGTTTTCCAACACAAAACCCAGGGTTGACCTGAGCACGTACAAGAGGAGTTGCGGGCTACTCTGGTAAGAAGAGATACCATCCCCCTTCGACCTTCAGAACCCTTGAGCCTGTACATAGCGAGGTGAACCCAACAGGAGCATATCCATGAACTTCCCAGGATTGGCGTCCGAAATGAACAGTTTTGCTTGTGCGTAGGTCTATTTCTGGCTGTTCAACGTTTGGGAGACTATTTTCCTCTTGTTCAGTTTCACACCGTTTGCAGGATGTTCAGGTATTTAGTTTCCCTATGGGGTAATCCCCCTAGCCCAGCAGTTTCCATGAAAACAAGAAACGCCGAAGCTGTATCCCCGAGAGCCCAAGGAAAAGCCCGCCCGGCTTCCCTGAAAACTGCTCCGAACCACGGAGCCTTATCGAGCCCCAAGCTGTTTGGGACAGTGGTTTCCCTTGACCCCCCACCCCAAAAGGCAAGCGTTTCACTCCCCCCACATGGATCCCACAGGTTTCTGCACAACCGGCACAACCCCCCCTCCCCCCCCACAGCTCCTCCCCCTCCCCCCCACAGCCCCCAGCCCCCCCCGATCTTCTTCAGACCTACGCCTGTCTGAGCTGCTGCTGACGGGCAAAGCGGAGGCCTCTCGAGCGAGCGAGCGAGCGGGTGGAAGGACGTGCGTTCGGAGTTTGTCATTTTGGTCGGCTCAACCAGCCGTCGGGTTCCACTTAGGTTTTTAGACCATGTTTTAGATTGGTTGAGTAGGTTTTTAGACCTTTTCAGATTGGTTGAATGAGTTTAGTAAACTTGGACTTCCATTTCACCCACGAGTTAGACTTTTAGCAGGGGATCTGAAAACGGACATGAGGTCATGACTTTTTCCGAGGGTGGTCGTGAGAGGATCTGGTAGCCTTTGGAACTTGACGGTAGGCTCGTTGAGGCCTGTGGGGTGGGAGCAAAAGGATGCCGCGGCCGTGGTAGGTTGCTTGGCTTTTGGGGAGGTTGGGAGGTTGGTTGGTTGCTTGGTTCGTAGGGAGGTTCCTATCTGTTTCGGCACCCGAGCTTGGAGATCCAACATCTCAGTGGTCTAGTTGGCTGAGCGATTTCGATGGGGCAAAAGGAACCAAGAGTCATGAAGGTCCGGAAGTTTGGGGATCCATGTCTTAAGTTTCAGGTTTGGAATTTGTTAACGGAGAGAACAACAAGCTGGATCCAACGAATTTTGGATTTGTGAGTTGCAGATACGTATGCCCTGCATGTACATATGACCGTATTTCCAAAAAGGAAGCTGGAAGGCAAAACAAGGGGTAACCTTCAGTGCGATGGGGCCCTTTCGATCTTCAGCGTGATTATCCAGCAGTTGATGCTCCGGATGTGCAACGTCCCCACGCTTGCTTGTCTCGGAGGAAGAGTTGACGGTGGACGGGAACGCATTCGATTCGTCAACTTGCAACCCGCTTTAGGAGCGAACTGGATCAGTTTTGGAGTCCAGGGCCACGTGTCAGCTCCCTGAAATGTTGAACTGGATGTGTCTTTAATGAGGGGACCCCCAAAATGGGTGAGTTGTCCTCTTGGTTTCCCTTGAACACCAACGAAAAAGGTGGTGCCACCTCAACCAACAGACACCCCCCACATGTTCACCCCCAGTTGTTTGCCAACGAATCTGGGGACAGGTCAGGCCCACAGCATGGAATCCAAGGAAAAAACAACTGGCCCGTTTGCAAACGCTGGACCAGTTCGCCTCAGTACCTTCAGCTCGGCATGCTATCAGGTTGCCCGGAAAGAAAAACAAAATAACATTTCCTGGGTCTTAAGATGTGTGTTGTCCATTTTTTCACTCCCTCAGACTGGCATGGAAGCTCGGAAGGCTGTAATGCTACCCCCGGATGAAGAAAAAACGCTGGTTGATTTTGATCGGGGGTGTGTCCAATTCCTTTCAGTGGGGATTCAGACCACTTTTGGAGAAATGGAACCCCCCCCCAAAACAAAAACGGGTTTCGGGGTTGTTAATCCTGGGTCAACATTCAATGGAACCAGGCCCCGACCATTTCAGGGTCCCTTCGGGAGCTTTCGTAGGCGGAGGCTGCAGGCCGCGAGGGAGAGTCTGCCGCCGGGAGCCACGGGCGGTTCGAGGCTAGCCGTCGCGAGCCCGTGGCGTACACCGTGGAGTTCGGTGCCATACTGTGGATGGTTGCGAATTTCCATTTCGTACCACGAAATGAAACCATGGTGTAAATAATTGTTTGTTGGTATTTACCGGGGAATCAGGGTTCCAGGATTTCTTAGGTGGTGCAGGAGTTCGTCCATCCACAGTATGGAATCACCGAGGGCGTGGGGAATGAACCGGTTTTGGGAGCCAAAGCGTGCGTGAAGATCCAACGCTTGCAGCTGCGTACACCTGACAAAGCCTGACAAGGCCCCTTTCCCTCACTCCAAGAAGTTAGGCCCTGCCGCAATTGCCACTGTAAAGAACAAAGACACATGCAAGTTCTGTAGGACATTGGGCTGTTTGCACATGGAGGTTTATCAAAAGGTCCTTTGCATGGGATGACCATTAGGGGAAAAAAAACAATCAAAAAGATGACTTTCCCACTAAATGGGACACATTTCCCGTGGGGGTCAGGAACATTGATCAACACCCAACTGCTCAAACGAAATATCCCATGGTGCAAGAGGGACATCGTTTAAGCGAGAATCATGGCAAGGTTGACAAAATAGGCTCTCTCTTTTTGGGGGGGGGTTGGCTGGGGGTTTTGGGTGGAGCAAAGGGACGCAGGGCAATTTGTAGGGACCTCCACACATGAAGGTAACCCCCAAACAGAGCTACCCCCCTAAGCACATCCCCAAGAGTGATTTGAACCAGGCCAAAACTGCAAGGGGCGTTTGGGGGATACGATCGATGTCTTATTTCAGGTTGGCAGTCTTTCTCGAATAACTCACCTGATTCTCGCAGTATGCCACACATGGCCTTCAAAATCCCTCTGGCGGCAGAAGGACCACCTTTCTTCTGGTGGATCAGGAAATCCACCGGCCTTTTGATTTCAATTTTCATTTTAGGAGACCCGTTTTGTTTGCTGCAGATTGGGCTTCGTCGCACTTGGGGCAGCTTGAGGTGCTGCGGCAGTGCCTTGAGGGGTGAAGGGGGCTTGCAGTGAGTGCCCGAGACGGCGGTTTGAGGCTGGGAACACGAAAAGCATCAAAACGTCCTTCCAGTTGTTGCGCGGCGTGGTTTCCAAAGAGCCGTTATTTGTGCGTTGCTTAAGCAACTCTGCAAAACGATTCCGAGCCAAAAACGAATCCATAGCTTGCGGAGACAACCATCCTCGAAAGAGCTATCCAGCCACCCTTGACCTAGCGTGCTGTTTCGGCTTGGAGGGATGCATTTTTTGGAAAAGACTTCAATGAACTTGGCCAGGACGGTTTCTGCGGAGAGGTGCCCCTGCTTGAACGCGTCGGAGGTTCAAGCGCTGGTGTTCTGGGCTCCATGCTTTACACCGAGAATGCATGGAATTGTCGCTTCAAGCTGGTTGAGGAGCAGTCTGCAAAGCTGAACGAGCTGCCTGCAAAGTTGGATGAGAAGTCTGCAAAGTTGGATGAGCCGTCTGCAAAGTTGGCCGAGCTGACAGAGTTGCTCTCAGGCCTGACACGCAAACATCATTGAGGCTCCTGGGAACTGCAATGTTTCATGTTGAGGAAAATCGATGTTTCACATCTTGACAGGCCACAGAAGCCCATGCTGCAAAGGCCTCAACACCTCGACGAAGTCCATCTTGCACCACCTAAGAAGCCGTGGAATGATTCGATTCCCCTGTAAACATCAACAAACAAATGGTTTCAACCATGGTTTCATTTCGTGGTGCGAAACTAGGTCCGCCAGTAATGCCCTTCTCTCCCCTTTTTTGGTTGGGAGGGTTCCCCGACAAAAATAGACAGAAAAAAGTTGGTACCCTTATTCTAGCCTCTCTACTGGAGGACCTAGTAGTTTCCCCTGTTAGTTTTAAAGGGAATGGACAGAACTGAACATATGAGTTTGTATTCCTTGCCGGCGACGTATTCGCAAATGGAGGCAGGCAAAAGGGTTCATTTCGTGGTGCGAAATGGATTTCGCAACCATCCACAGCATGAACCGTGCCGATTGACACTTCAGCATCGGCGCAGTCGGCGCTTGGGTGCGTCACGAGGTGCACCTTGCGAGCTTGCTGGGCCGGGGGCCAAAGCGAAAGAGAGGAGCCATTTCAGTTTTGCTTGTTTGGTTCGGGGGGTGGGTGGGATTTTTTCGGGATCCTTTTACATGAAGGGAAATGGAAGCCGCTTCCTGAGTTCCGGATCTCGGACTTGAGTCACTCTTTGAGTCTGGCCGTTTTTTCACCGCTGTTTTGTTTTTCTTTGTTGACCACTCCTCTCGATCGGAAGTGAGCCACACAAGCCCCACTTGGAGATGCCAGTTTGTCTGCTGTGTTTAGCAGCTTGAAGCGGGACAGCTCCTGGTGGGGGGTTGGGGTTTGGGGGGGGTTTGGGGGGGTTTGGGGGGGTTTGGGGGGGTTGGGGGGGGGTTGGGGGAGGTTGGGGGGGGTTGGGGTGGTTTGGGGTTGGTGGGTTTGGCGGGGTGGGGTTGGTGGGGGGGGGTTGTTGGGGGGTTGGGGTTGGGGGGTTGTTGGGGGGGTGGGGTTCAACGGTGACGGGGAGCTAGAGAGCCAACGTGCGAACATGATTGGTGTCTGACGGATGTTCACAGGGAGAGCAGCCAGCTGCGGGCCCTGCGTGTTGTGGGATGAGAGATTGTAGCATTGTTGCTTTGCACCTCGCACGGCAAATGCGGCGAATGTTCGGTACATGGAATGTCTCTAGTATACTTCCAGCACATTGTTCTGTAACTCGTTTGCGAACAACCGAACATGGTGACACAAACCAGCCTAAATGATGTGCACCAACGAGTGCCCAAACTGAGAGATTGACCATATAGAACAAAAATGGAGCACGTTTCGGGAAACCCTAAGAGACCAATCCAATATTGCACCCGTGAGGATTTGTAATGGTTTTGTCATCCTTTGAAAGACATGCCAAAATGACCCCCCAAAAAAAAGCCCAGATGGTATCCCCAGCCCGGAACCTCCGGAACCCTTCCTGAATGCTGCCCCAAACCACCAACCAGACACCTGTTTGGGCCTATCGACCCCATAGCTTTCAGTTGTTGGGGAAAAACAAATGCACGCTTTCCGTGCTTTCTTCCTAACCACGTTTGAAAGCGCCTTTTGCCGCAAGAGCAACCCCTGTTCGGGTTTGCAACCCGAAGGCCATGAAGAGGTGGTGAAGGCCTTGCTCCAGGACAGACCGCGTCCCCGAAATGTTCCGCCGCAGCGTTCGGCCAACTCAGTAAGTTGTTGGTATCCTAGGTCTGTAACCCACTCAAAGTCCCCCATTCAGTGCGGCTACCCTTTTTATAGCGAGTTATACCCCAAGTGGCCAACCACTTACTAACTTGGCCGAGCATCCAAGCAGGACCGGTTTACTATTTGAGACAAAACCACATCACCAAACCCCATTGGGGCGAACAAAGAAATCAGGCGGGAGCTCTGTTTGAGCATGCGCATCGCTCGCACAATTATATACTAGCTTGTAACTATTCTCTAGGTTTCCACAGCAATTTTATGTGCCAGGGTAGGCCAAACAGGAATAGATATGACAAACAGGCTTCCTTAAATAAACAATGCATCTGGATCAGACCGAGCAGCACCTTTACCATCGATTTGGAGGAGCCAAACCCTTGTTAAAAAAAAGAGAAAAAGTTGTTTGTTTGGTGGAAAGCTCTGCAAGTATTTCTTTGTTCACGGGTTGACTTCCTGCCCTCTTCACCCATCGTTCTCTTCAGAAGCCTGCATTTTTGGAAGAGGAGGATCCCTGAAGAGAATAGGAAATGTGTTGTCTTGTGAATTCAGACAGCTTTTATTTTTTTTCCAAATGCAATCGGTGTTGCGATTAAATGTTTTGCTACAATTATCAAGTATCATCATAGTTGTTACTCACGTCATGGTTGCTACTGCTATCTGTTTTGTGTTTTTGCATTGCATTCAAATGAATATGAAAAGCGTCCCAACGGCATTTCTTGTGACAGGTTTTTTGGTCGCACCGCACAAGTAAATGGGAGTCGGTGATTTGGAAATCAACATGTCTCTGAAGGATGCCCGGATTCAGGATGCTTAGCCAGACGTGGCATGGTGCAGAAACAGGGTTCCCTGCATGTACATATATGTCTCCTTCTCCCTTTCTTGCGCTTCAAAATGACAGTTTCTCCGACGTATCATCCTCAACCAGCTCCTCCCACTGGTTCAACATATATGTCTCCTTCTCGGTTTTTTGGTGTAAAAAGACAGTTTCTCTGGGCTTTTTTATGCTCCGGTTCCAACCAACTGGTTCAAAGGGGAAGCTTCAAAGTGGACCCTTGAGGCGGGCGCCTCGGCCAACCTGGCGGCCTTGGACGGCAAGACGGCCGGGCGGTTTCCGGATCGCCGGCCGGAGCCGCGAGAGGATGGGGGTGCCCTGAAGTGTCTTAGATTTGTATTTCACAGGAGATGTACTAGGTCCCCCAGCTAGGGTTTTTCGTTCTTTTTTTTCTCCGTTTTTGGGGGAGGGTTTCCCTACTAAAATAGACTACAGAAAAAAGGGTACCCTTACCCTTGTTCTAATCTCTCTACTGGAGGACCTAGTTGTATTTCACAGGAGATTTACGGATGGACAAAATCCGTTCCCACCACCTTGAAACCATGAAACCATGCTTGTCGGTATTTACAGCGGAATCATCATTCCAGGGTTTCTGTGGTGCAGGATTTTGTCCATTCACAAGAACTCCGTGGTGAATGGGAGACTCGGTTGACTCACGATGTAGCCTGAGGTTGAACATCCAAGAAAGGCTTAGAAGGAGGCTCCTGGTCTTTCTTTGTCAAGCGACCGGGCAAGTTGCACCGTGAGTATTTGGCTCGGACGTTTGCGAGGTTGGCAAGCGAGCCAAGGAAAAAGAAGAGAGACACAGAGTGAGGAACCTATATACAGAGGTCGACACGGGACTTTGTAGCCATTTTGTTGTTTCAAGCTTCCCTCACTTCTTGACTTCTACTTTAAGAGCTGAAAGTCCACCCAAGCCTTCAGGAGTGAGCGTATCTCGCTCAGGGTGGTGCCTTGTGGAGTGTGAGAGTTTCCTTTCAATATCTCTTTTTAGATTGGAACTTCTTGTTTAACAGATACGTACGCTGTGTTGTGTTCAAACAAAACGGTTTGATTTCTGTTTGATTCCCCTCCAAAACGGGTTATAACAGGCTTTGGACTCTATCCAGGGGTCTGTTTCCCATCCAAAACCGCCCGGCGCTCTCTGGCGCTCGCGGCGCCAGCTGGCGCGTGGCGATGGCCGCTTGGTCAATCGCTGGGCGATCGCCGGGTGAACTGGGCTCGAACTGCGTAAGAGCAGAGTGATGCCCAGGTGCTCAATGAAATCCATCCTGAAGATCCCTAAATGATCGGGACCTAAAATTACATGCTGCGGCTGCTGCTGTTGCTGATGATGATGATGATGAGGATGAGGATGATGATGATGAGGATGAGGATGAGGATGATGATGATGAGGATGAGGATGATGATGATGAGGATGAGGATGAGGATGTTGCTGATGATGATGATGATGATGAGGATGAGGATGATGAGGATGAGGATGAGGATGAGGATGTTGCTGATGATGATGATGATGATGATGATGAGGATGAGGATGATGAGGATGAGGATGAGGATGATGAGGATGAGGATGATCATGATGAGGATGAGGATGAGGATGTTGCTGATGATGATGATGATGATGATGATGAGGATGAGGATGATGAGGATGAGGATGAGGATGAGGATGATGATGATGATGATGATGATGAGGATGAGGATGATGATGATGAGGATGAGGATGAGGATGTTGCTGATGATGATGATGATGATGAGGATGAGGATGATGAGGATGAGGATGAGGATGAGGATGTTGCTGATGATGATGATGATGATGATGAGGATGAGGATGATGAGGATGAGGATGAGGATGATGAGGATGAGGATGATGATGATGAGGATGAGGATGAGGATGTTGCTGATGATGATGATGATGATGATGAGGATGAGGATGATGAGGATGAGGATGAGGATGATGATGATGATGATGATGATGATGAGGATGAGGATGATGATGATGAGGATGAGGATGAGGATGTTGCTGATGATGATGATGATGATGATGATGAGGATGATGAGGATGAGGATGAGGATGAGGATGAGGATGAGGATGATGATGATGATGATGATGATGATGAGGATGAGGATGATGATGATGAGGATGAGGATGAGGATGTTGCTGATGATGATGATGATGATGATGAGGATGAGGATGATGAGGATGAGGATGAGGATGATGATGATGATGATGATGATGATGATGATGATGATGATGATGATGATGATGATGATGATGATGCTGGTGATGCTGGTGATTTCGTTGATGGCGGTGAGAGAGCCAAAAGACATCGAAAACTGACACAAACATAACAGTGAACAACTGACTTGTTGAGAACCTGGTGGACACTGTTACGAACTAGCAACACGTGTCGTCACTTTTGGGGGAGTCAAAGATTGATCAAGGAAAGAAGTGAATGTGTGACTCGGACACATTGCAGACCTAGTGAGTCCATGGTCCAGGGCAGAACGGAGTCCTTGTTCTGGGAGCCAATAGAAGGGATAGACAAATAGATATGTAGAGAGAGAGAGAGGAGAGAGACAAAATCGATAGATAGAAAGACAGCTAGATAGCTAGCTAGAGCGAGCGATAGATAGATGGATAGATAGATAACAGACAGATCTGATAGAAAGGATAGATAGATAGATAGATAGACAGATAGACAGACAGACAGATAGATAGGTAGATAGATAGGTAGGTAGATAGATAGATAGAGATGGGGAGACAAGTAGCAAGATAGATAGACAGATCGATAGCTAGTTAGAAAGACTGCTAGATAGACAGACAGAAAGGTAGATAGATAGGGAAAGAGAAAGATAAAGAGAAAGAGAAAGAGACAAGGACAGAAAGAGACCAGCAAGAGAAAGAGACGCAGAAGATGAGAAGAGACATAAAGAGAAAGAGAAAAGGACAGATACACATGATATGTTGATATACAGTTATATACGTATGACCACCCCAGGTCAAACATCGAAGCCCCACATGTACGCGCGCTCAGGATTGGAAAGGCCTCTCGCCACATGACCTGGACATGCCGGGCGAGCGGAACGTGGCTGCGATGTATGCGGCCTGGCACGAAATGCCAATAATAATTTCAAGATGGCCCCACTGCCGCAAGTATTGCAAGTAGGAACAAGGGAAACCCTGTAAATTACAATGGTTTGTGGCTGGTTTACTTGCAGTATGTTGGGCCCTCTTCCGGGCCCGAGGAGAGAATGGGGTCAAGCCATTGAAGGGTCCCCAGGTCCCCAGTTTCGGAGTGCGGGTTTTAGCTACCGAACCGAAGCTGGACGAAAATGGGAGGAGGTTTTGTTGGACTGCATGTTTCACATTCTTCACAAGGGGTTGGTCTTTGCGAGGGACACCTCGCCTGGTTTTTTTTTGTTTTTGGCACCGCGTTTCTCGCTTCCCAAGTGTCTCTTGAGACATGGCAAAGCAGCCCCTGGTTTTTGTGGCTTGAGGGAAACACACCCGAGTCAAGTTGCCTGTAGGCAACCAGGTGAACACATGAACAGCGAAATGGAAGATGCACGAAGAGCGGCGATCGCCGGACCAAACTTCACATTTTTGGGGTTTCCTATGTGTGGCCTGTGAGGGTTCTCACTTGGTTTTGTTGGACCCGGGTTCTTTATTGGTTCGTTCACTTGAGGCGAGGCGCTTTGGGATATGTGGAGTGGTTGCAGCCATCGGGTCGCGGACTTCGATCCCAGGTTTGTGGATGCATGTCTGGGCTCGAGCGTTCAAAGGCATGTGGCCTGCCTCGGTGTTCAACGGGTTTTTGCTTTAAACACCAACCAGCGGAGGGGGGGGGGTTGGGGGGTTGGGGGGTTCGGGGGCAGGGTTCATGTACAACCCCCCTCCCACTTTTGGTTGGAAGGCAATTTTGTCGACGCCGGATCAACCTGGATTGTGGTGGCGGCGGTTCCCAGATCAGTGACAGACTCCCCCTTCAGTTTCGGATTCCCATTTATGTGAACCGCTTGTGGCTCCCGTGTCGTGGATGGACAACATCCTGCAGTTGGCAGATGTATCCAAGTATTGAGAAGTTCAACTGACAGGTTTCGTCCATCATCATGACACTCCCTCGCACTCTCAAGCTGACATGGAAGCTCCCAGAAGGCCAATCCTGTAGATGGAACCAAGTCTTCTAACAGGAGTCCTGGGAGTCTTTATGGAATCGGGAGGGCAATCCACCTGTCTTTCTAGGGGCTCATTCCCCATTCTTTTCAGCCATCGTTCTTTTCCAAGAACCAGCCGTTTTCCCTGGGTTTGTGAGGTTTTCCAGAAAGAAGGATCTCTGGAAAGAATGGGGAAGATACCCTGAGCGTCTTGGCTCTCTTCTTTCTTTCCCCGCGCTTGCGCAGGCAGTGACCTATGCCAGGGCCTTGCCGTATACGGTGCTCTTCGTGCTGCTTTGGGCGGCTCGTCAGAAACTTAAGCAAAGATAATTTTGAATTGGACCCCCCCCCCGACAAGTCAAGCGTTTTTTTGGGGTTAACAGCAACCAAGCATGAGGTGAACCTTGTCAAGTGCTTCTATTGATTTGAGGAGTCAAGGGTTGTCCATGTTAAATGAGGCGAACTACTTCAACAGCTTCTAAGTATTTTTGTTGGCTTTTTGATTCACGCAAATTTGGGATTATCTCCACGGGTTTGCCTTGAAAGCATAAGACACGCAAACCAAAAAAGTGGGTTTGATCATCGTTCGCTTCCTGAGTTCCTGGACTTTAAACTTTTTGGGTTTGGACCATTTCAGTGGTAGTTGACAATCTGTCTTCGGCCAGTGCATTGCGGAAGCAAGACATTTTCAGATCTTAAGGGTGGTTCTTGGGTTGGTTTGGTGTTTATCTTGCCGGTGCCATAGGTAGGGAATGACCTGCTCCGGGTTTTGAGAATGAACCAGGGTTTCCTTTAAAGGAACCGATAGGGGATGGTTTTTCTCGGGCACAGTCCATTTCTCATTCCCTGCCTATCGTACCAGCAAGCTATTTAGGCCGTGGGCGTTTCTTTTGGTATCGCGTTTTCTAGCACCATGCACGACTTCCATGTGCTGAAAGGATTATTATTATTTTTTAAAACTTTGCCCTGTGGTTTTAAAGAGACTGATTTCACTACGTGACGTATTTTCTCATTTTCCAGGGGACCTTGGTGGTTCGCAGCCATCCCCTTAGCTTTTCAGCCTTCTAGTGTTTAGTCGGGATTTCCATTTCACCCACTAAAAGTGAGTCACT